ATGATAAATATGGTATAAAACAACAGCATATTCACTACCACACTTGTAATAACAATAATGTAAACATTAAGGCAGCTATCAGCTATAATTTACATTGAATGTCTTCAACAATAACAATTAATTTAAACATGTAATAGGTATATAACTATTAACTATAACATTTCAGATGTTCAAGTAAAAATGTTATACCACATCTACATAAATGTTAATGATGAATGGTTGATTGATTCTGAATTTTGTTTAAGTGTTACTGATTGCACTCATCCTTCCTGGTGTGCTTTGTTGCTATTTCAAAGATTTGTGTATTTATGTAGCTGTGGTAGGAGATTACACCCAAGTCTTCAATAAAATTGATATTTGATGAAAAAAGAAATGTTACTGTGTGCTATTTTTCATTCAGGTAGTTCCTTGAGATCTTGGGTATAATTTACTTTACAATTGCAAATTACTTGTTGATAGTAACATCGTTGATCGTGACTCTATCCAATGTTACATATTCAGTAAGTGTGCATTTACCCTGTTTGAGTAGGATTGATGCAATCGCTAATATGTAAGTGTCCTTGTCAGATGAGCGCATCATTTTCACTTTCATTTCTTTTGCAATAGCTTTTAATTCTTTGAACTTGATATCTCTCACAGTWACTTTATTCAACCATTTTAACAAAATGGCTTCTGCAGATGGTAGGCTAAGACCTATGGACAGATACAAAATATMATAARCTAATTTAATTCATCTCCATCAACTTATGGTCTGTGTATGCATGGTATGGCAACTGTGTATCAGATATCAAWTCATATAAAAGCTKTGACTCWTATTACACTAGAACAAGTAACAAAATACTTTTGATTTGTGTAAAAGCATCAAGAACAGTAATATTGCATATCAGTAAAGTGACGTGAACATTCTAAAGTTACCTTTTTTAAATTGCTCCTTATAGTCTGCCACTCTTCGGAGCTTCTCATCAAGTTCAGGGGGTGGGCTATATTTAACATTTCTTGGGGTACCAATGGAAGAACAGCCTGAGCTATTAGTATCACTTTGTTCTGTAACTGACTCCTCCATACTGCTGCTCAAGTCTAGTAGTGACACATCAGAGGCTTTCCTTCGTCTCTCCATCATGTGGTGCCTAATCAAGTCTGAAATTGCTTGGTACTTCAAACCTGCAGTGGGCATGGCATAATTGTCATCAGTGGACAGTGAGTGAGCTATTTCATGTAACTTTTGTAAGTTGGTAGAGTTATGTCTAAATTTTGGAGTAGGTCCACTCTCAGGCCAAGTGGCTTTGACATGATTGATTATCCTTGTCTTTCTGAAAAGAGTGAAGAGCACAGATATAGTGTTAAAAGTGACAGACCACTTAACCAAGTATCACGATTGATTTACCTTAAATAGTCAACTTACTTTGTGTTATATAAAGATCTCTCTTTGCTTGACAGCAACATCTATTTGCTGATCTAAAAGACATGCCAAACANGGAGCCTGGTACGAGTGTGACGTCAACTAAGGAAGGATCTCTCACCTTGGTTGTACTTTTGACAGTAAAATCTGTGAGATTCAAAGGTATTTGTTTCTTTCTAAACGCCTGTAAATCGAAAAGTTAGCTACAAGCACACTCTGTACTCTTGTTCAATAAAATGGAGAATATTGATATTGTAAACCAACTGCATGTGAGCATATGCATTAAGTAAAGCAAAGTAGTGTAGGCTAATGAAGTTCTTATGTTACCAACCTTTCAGTTCTG